GGGGTGTCTGGTCAGGCATTTCTCTCCATTTGCTGGCTGCAAGGGTTCTGCTGCCCTCCCATGTCTGTCTGAAATGCAGTTATTCTTCCACAGTGCACATTTTGAAGGTTTTCTGACTGACTCAAATATAAAAAAATAAGAAAAATCATGAAACTAGGAGGATGCAAGAACTTTCAAGATATATATATTTTTTTACTAGCGAAATTAAATTTTCTGTCAAATGCAGTGTGATTCATTGCTGAAATCTGAAAAGGCAGCATTTAAACTGTTTTATCATGGTGTGGAAAGAAAGAGAAATGGAGTTGGGGTGGTCCTGAATGAGAAGTTGGCAAAGAATGTAGTAGAGGTGAAAAGCGTGTCAGGTAGAGGGATGTGTCTGAAGGTAGAAGAATCTACCTAAGGTAGATTCTTAGAATAGAATCTAAGGTCTGATGCTAAATGTTGTCAGTGGTTATGCTCCACAGGTTGGATGTGATGTGGAGGAGAAAGATACATATTGGAAAGATCTGGATGAAGTGATAGAGAGTATTCCCAGGGAGGAGAGAGTGGTGATCAGAGCAGACCTGAATGGACATGTTGGTGAAGGAAACAGAGGGGACGAGGAAGTGATGGGTAGGTTTGGTGTCAAGGAAAGAAATCAGGAAGGACAGATGGTGGAGGATTTTGCCAAAAAAATGAAAATGGCTGTAGTCAAGACTTATTTCCAAAAGAGGGAGGAACATAGAGTGACCTATAAGAGTAGAGGAAGGAGTACAGAGGTCGACTACATTCTGCGTAGAAAAGGAAACCTGAGGGAGATTGGAGACTGTAAGGTTGTGGCAGGGGAGAACGCTGCCAGACAGCATCGGATGATTGTGTGTAGAATGACTGTTGTTGTGAAGAAGAGAAAAATAGTAAAATCAGAGAAGACAACCAAATTGTGGAAGATGAAGAAGGAGAAATGTTGTGAGAAATTCAGAGAGGAGCTGTTAAAGGCTCTGGGTGGAAAGAAAAAGCTTCCAAATGACTGGGCCACTACAGAAAGAATAATTAAAGAAACACGTACTTGACAGAGGATAGATGATAAGGGCCCCTGGTGGGGGCAGCACGGTGGCACAACTGGTAGAGCTGCTGCCTCTCAGCGAGCAGGTCCCCGGTTCAAATCCCGGTCAGGGGGCCTTTCTAGGTGGAGTTTGCATGTTCTCTCCGTGCATGCGTGGGTTTTCTCCAGGTACTCCGGTTTCCTCCCACAGACCAAAAACATGCGTTAGGCTGATTGATGACTCTAAATTGTCTCTAGGTGTGAGTGAGAGAGTGAATGGTTGTTTGTCTCGTTTGTCTTTGTGTGGCCCTGTGATGGACTTGCGACCTGTCCAAGGTGTACCCCGCCCCTCGCACAATGATTGCCAGACATGGGCACTGGCGACCCCCGTGACCCAAAATGAAGGAAGCGGGTAAAAGATAATGGATGGATGGATGGAAACCTGGTGGTGGAATAATGAAGTGCAGGAAGCTATTCAAAGAAAGAGGTTAGAGGACTGAAGAGATGAGACAGGAATATAAGGAGATGGGATGTAGAGCAAAGAGGGAGGGAGCTAAGGCAAAGCAGAAGGCGTACGATGAGTTATATGGGTGGCTGGACACTAATGAGGGTGAGAAGGACTTGCACCGATTGGGGAGACAGAGGGATCAGGTTGGAAAGGATGTGCAGCAGGTTAGGCTTGTTAAAGATAGGAATGGTAATGTTCTAACAAGTGAGGAGAGTGTGATGGGAAGATGGAAGGAGTACTTTAAGGAGCTAATGAATGACAAGAATGGAAGAGAAAGAAGAGTAGAGCTCATAGAAACTGTGGACCAGGAGGTGGGAAAGACTAGTGAGGGTGAAGTCTGGAAATCTCTGAAAAGAATGAAGAAGAGGAAGGCCGTAGGACCTGATGACATACCATTGGAGGTTTGGAAATGTCTTGGAGAGATGGCAGTGGGGTTTTTTTTATCCAAATATTCAATGGCATATTTGAGGGTGAGAAAATGCCTGAACAATGAAGAAGAAGTGTGCTGGTGCCCATTTTTAAGAGCAAGGGTGATGTACAGAGTTGTAGCAACTAAAGGGGAATTAAGTTGATGAGCCACACGATGAAGATCTGGGAGATCATTGAGTGCTAAACTTAAATGAGAGGTGACTATTTGTGAGCAGCAGTATGGTTTCATGCTAAGAAAGAACACTACACCACAGATGCCATCTTTGCTTTGAGAATGCTGATGGAGAAGTATAGACAGGGTCAGAAAGGACTTCGTTATGTCTTTTTGTATTTAGCAAAAGCATATGACAGGGTGCCGAGAGAGGAGGTGTGGTATTGCATGAGGATATTTGGAGTGGCAGAGAAGTGTGTTAGACTGGTACAGGACATGTATGAGGACAGGAGAACAGTGGTGATATGTTGGAGTAGGAGTGACACATAGCTTCAAGATGGAGGCAGGAGTGCATCAAGACAGCTCTGAGTCACTTTTTGTTTGCTCTGGTGATGGATGACTAACAGATGAGGTCAGGCTGGAATCCATGTGGACAATGTTTGCAGATGACATTGTGATCTGTGGTGAGAACAGGGAACAGGTGGAAAAGAACTTGGAGAGGTGGAGGTATGCACTTGAAAGAAGAGAGTGAAAGTCAGCCGTAGTAAGACAGAGTACATGTGTGTGAATGACAGGGAGGAGGTGGAACAGTGAGGCTACAAGGAGCAGAGGTCACAAAGGTGCAGGACTTCAAGTACTTGGGGTCCACTGTCCAGGAAAATATGGAGTGTGGTAAAGAGGTGAAAAAGAGAGTCCAGGCAGGATGGAGTGGATGGAGAAAAGTTTCAAAAGTGATTTGTGACAATTGTTCATTTCCTTGCTAAACTGATTAATAAGCTGTCGTTATTTTAAATTCTTGCCAATTAATGTAAATGTGTGATGTGTTAAACTTGATTCTGTTAATAAATGACCCACTGTCGTGGTGAGTCAAAGATAATTAACGTCTCACGTCCACATTTTTAATTATTCAATGCACGTATCATACAGTCCAGAAAAATGAAAGAATCCGTTTTAACAGTATGAATATATCTCATAAAAGGCTGGAAGCAAAAGTCAAAGGAAAAGTTTACAAGACAGTGGTGAGACCATTTATGTGGTATGGTCTGGAGACAGTGGCATTGACAAAAAGACAGATGAATGAACTGGAAGTGGCAGAAATGAAGATGTTGAGGTTCTCCTTAGGAGTGACAAGGCTGGATAAGATTAGGAATAAGATCATCAGAGGTACAGCACAGGTTGAACAACTGGGAGATAAAGTTAGAGACCAGACTGAGATGGTTTGGACATGCCCAGAGGAGGGACAGTGGGTATATTGGTAGAAAGATGCTAGAAATGCAGCTGTCAAGTAAGGTTGGACCATAACATATCGTTCACGATAAGACTTGTTAAATAAACTTGGCTGGGAAAATAAATTATATCATGATATGCTAATTTCATTTCAACATTTTTTTTTTTATTGTAGGTTACATTTATGCTCAACAGATCTTAATTTTTCTTTTTTTTTTTTTTTGGGGGGGGTGGGGGGGGTGGATTTCACCGGCACTTTAGTTTTTGTAGTGGGTTTTGTTGTTCTATATTTTGTGCAGACTTTTCAATCTAAATAACAAGGATCATTTTAATTTTTATTCTTTGAGACTGAATACTTTACTAAATAAAATAATCTCAGTAAAATTAATTCTTGTTTTTAGTTTTTATATAATACTGCAAAGCAACATGTTAAGTTAATTTGGGCAAATGAATTACTGTGATTTCAGGTTTTTTTTGCTATACAGTATCACAAAATTTATCGTTATCGTCAGAATGCTCTGAAATATTACAGTATTATATTTGAGCCATATCGCCAACCACTACTGTCAAGGAAAAGACAATGAGATAGGCCAAATAAGAGATATAGGGATGCAGTTAGAGGACATGGAGTGAGGAGTAAGGACAGAGGATGTAGAGGACAGAGTGAGCTGGAGGATGATGACTCACTGATGACCCCTGAAGACAGAAAAGCCAAAAGAAGAAGAAGAGAGGCAGCAGCAGTCCACTAGTCTTGGCTGTTTATTTTCTTTTAGCTGATTTTTTACTTTGTAGCTTTTTTAGCTATAGTTTTGTTAAAACACCATAACAGATGTCCCAATACTTAACAAAATGGGCAATTTGAGTTAGTTTTGTCTGATTGTAGACCTCCAGATTTATTTTACCTGTCATGTGCTGGATGAGAAGCATTTATGAAAAGTGTGAAGATGGCAAAAAATGTGTAAATATGTCCCTTTCTCCTGAAATTCAATTTAGTTTATTTAATTAGTGCCAAGTCACAACAAAAGTTGTCTCAGGGCACTGTACAAAAACATTCACATACTTTGCACATGAAAAGCCAATTAATAAAAGTTTTCTAAGGAAATGAGCAGATTGTGTTGAATCTTGACTTCGTCGTAGTCTCCCATCCTGAGCAAGCATAAAGGAGACGGTGGACAGGAAAAACTCGCTTTTAACAGGAAGAAATCTCCAACAGAACCAGGCTCAGGACGAGCGGCCATCTGCTTCGACCAGGCAGGGTTTGAGAGAACATGAAGGAGAAACAAACTCAGGTCCAGATGTAGGACTAGGTGTACCCCCTATTGGAAGAAAGACAAAAATAAAAACTCATGTTAAAGATAGGAATAATTACAAATACAAACAAAGTAGAGTAGAGCAATTAAAGACAGCAGCAGAGTGAGGAAATGTGGTCAATATTTCCTCCAGCAGTCTAAGCCTATAACAGAATAACTAAAGGAAAGTTTAGGAAACCCAAGCCGACCCTAACTATAGGATTTATCCAAAAGGAAAGTCTTAAGCCTAATAAAACTGGACAATGAGTCGGCCACAGACAGAAACTGGAAGTTGGTTCCACAAGAGAGGAGCCTGATAACTGAAAGATCTGCCTCCCATTCTACTTTTGGAAATGCCAGGAACCATAAGTAGACCTGCAGTCTGAGAGCCAAGTGCTCTGTTTGGAAAATATGAAACAATAAGATCTGTAATATAAGATGGAGCAATGTTGTTGAGATCTTTGTAGGTTAGAAGTAATATTTTGAATTCAATTATGGATTTGACAGGGAGCCAATGGAGAGAAGTTAAAACCGGAGCAATATGATCTGTACTACAACTTTCATTAAAACTCTGGCAGCAGCATTTTGGATCAACTGAAGACATTTTAATGAAGGTTTTGGACACCCAGATAGGTAAACAATTGCAATAGTCCAGCCTTCAAGATTATTTGTGGCTTTCCTGCCAGTTCTGTGACCTTAATAGATAGATCATTATGTCTGACTTTGCGTTGCAAAACTTTCCCTCCATTTCAGCAGAAAGCAGCGGCCGGAAGCACTGTTGGCTTCTGGGTAATGTAGTTTGTTTGACATATGTTACAGTATAGACTTATTGAAAGAAAACTACAAAATGGCAGCGCCTGTCCGAAGTATTTTTTTGTTAACTTTTTATCTCATATATACCATCCCAATCATGTGAGTAATATTAAAGTTGACAATCGTGTGCTGTGTACAATCTCACAGTGAAAATACATGAAATAGCGAGTCTGATCACCATAATATGACATAATAAAATTATTCCACGTTAGTGGAGCGACATTTTTGTTCCAGCTTTCTAAATGCCTGTTTTTTTTTGTTTGTTTTTTTCTAAATGCCTGTTTCAAAGTACTTAACTCAGAATTGAACCAAGGAGCCAGCTTTCTCTGTTTGACTACTTTTTTTTCCAGTGGAACAATTTTATCAAGTGAAGTTTGCATAGAAGTTGTAAAATGATCCGTCCGTCCGTCCGTCCGTCCGTCCGTCCGTCCGTCCGTCCGTCCGTCCGTCCGTCCGTCCGTCCGTCCGTCCATCCATCCATCCATCCATCCATCCATCCATCTATCCATCCATCCATCATCTTGCACTTATTCCAAAGTCGAGTCACAGCGCAGGGAGCCCCAGACATCTCTTTCCACAGCCACCTCTTCTAGCTCTTCTGGGGGGGCCCTAAGGCATTCCCAGGCCAACCAAGAGACAGTCTTTCCAGCATGTCCTGGATCTTCCCCAGGGTCTCCTCTCGGACATGCCCGAAGCACCACCCTAGGGTAAAATTATAGACCTTATCATCTAAGTCACTGCTCTCTAGTGCATTACTCTGCAAGGCAGAGGAAAACAACAATGGAAGAGATTATTTAAATTTGGTTACATCATTTTCTGATAAATACTTACTATAATGAAATTTACTCACAGTGGCTGTGTAGTCCGTTAATGTAAACTCAAAGGTTATGTACAACTCATAAAACCCCAAGAAAATCTGATTATAAAAGTTGAGTTATAGAGTGTTGTACTACTTTGTTTAGAACAATGTACAGTAAGTGGTATGCCGGTAATTGTGTTTGACTTTTCATCAATTCAAAGATCAGATTACTTCTCTGTTGACATCATAATTGACTTGCTTCAGTTTAATTAAAAATAAAATGATTACAGCATCATTATAAAGCTTTTATCTTTAACCATGAAAAGGATATTTGTCACCCATCGGGGAGTGAAGAGGGAGAATTGGATATACCCTCCCTCCATCCATGTATTTTGTGACCATGGCTTGAAAAATAGGTGAGGTACCAACTTCCATTTAAATAGCTACATTTAGGCATAACATTTTTCATTTAGAAAACTAGGTTGCCACATAAATGCATACATGATGGCTGCCACCAATGTACTGTATATATGTTAACCTTATGAGTTGGATAATTTGTGTGTGTGTGACTGCATCTAGGTATTAAAAAGGCCATTCAAAAATTGAGTTGCCACGTCAAAATCCAAGATGGCCACCACCTTAAATATATGCAAACTGGCCACCCTCATCATTTGAGGAAACTACATTTTCTAGTGTTTGCATTGATTAAAAGTATAGTTCCCTCAAATGATTCAGGCAGCTGAAGATTAAACTATAGTGCCACCATTGGTCACCCCCTGGCTCTGTCTTTGTGCCTGGTTGTGGATAAAATTGCTCCCTCCACTCGCCAAGAATCTGTCACTCCGCACTGTCTCAGACTAGCAAAAGATAAATAAAAACTATTCTATTCTATTCTTTAACACAGTGTAACTCCTACGCACGTGAATATCTTGCACCTAAAACATGGTTTACTTGCATTCCCTGTTCAATTCTAGTCCAGAAAACACTCATCTCAAAAACATCAAACAATCACTGTGTGTGACCTCCCCTCACACTCGCACCCCTGCCACTGGTCTGTGGTAAAATTGTCTCACAAAACCAGTCCATGGTGCAAAAGACGTTGGGGAACCGGACCCTTGTTCTAGCCTACCTTTTAGCTCAGCAACTGACAGGCTGTCTTTAGGAGCCCCTAGCCTTCATGACTAATGGGTGGAGTCCAGGGCTTCAGAGCTTAAATAATGGTAACTGTGTGCTTCATATAACATTATCAGTGCTGCAGATGGTCTTCTTTTAGCACTTTCTGAATTGAATTTGAAACATCAACATGAAGGTTATTTATGTATTTTAAATGTAATAAAAAAAACAGGTCCAAAGAGCATTTATAAATTAGTCTCCTAGTTTTTCTTGAGATATAACAAAGAAGATTATGTGTAGTGGTTCACTGTGTCTGGAAAATCATTCTGTAAAAATTGTAAATGTTTGAAAATCTTTAACTATATTCCTGTGTCTTTAGGTGAGACTAAAAAGCCATGGCAGAACACATGATGATGCCCATGGCCCACAGCTTCAGGATGGGCATGAATGGACCTCCACAACACGTCAGCCAGCCCGGACTGCGTGGACTGCCCAACGGACAGGTTCTGCACTACGGCAGAAACCCTCAGAACAACTCAGAGGCTGCCATGAGACAGAGACCAAACATGGTGGGGCCAGGAGGAATGGGTGGCCATGTTAATGGAGCTCCTATGACCAACCATCATCACCAAATGATGCCTGAGAACATGATGTACAACAGTCAGGGCCCACAGCAACAGCACCACCACATGCACCCACAACAGCAGGGTGGACACCCACAGCATTACCTCCCTGGTAACCTCACCTCCCAGCAACTCATGGCAAGCATGCACCTGCAAAAACTCAACACTCAGTATCATGGATACCCGACAGGCTTGACCAATGGCCACCACTTGCCCAATGGAGCTCAGTACAGAGTGGGCCCAGCACAGTTCACAGGCATTCAGCACATTGGAGGGCCTTTGGGGCTCAATGGAATGGACACTGATTTAATTGACGAGGAAGTTCTGACTTCTCTGGTGTTGGAGTTTGGTTTGGATCGTGTTCAGGAGCTGCCAGAGCTCTTCCTGGGACAGAATGAGTTTGACTTCATATCGGACTTTGTGTGCAAACAGCAGCCAAGCACGGTGAATTGTTGAGCTGGATGTTTAAACTGGACACCCCAAAGACAACTGACCGGCCACAGTAGCACAGCAGAAGGAGACAATCTGTCAGATCTGTGTGGGTCTTTCTATGTATGTGTTAAGGACAGCGTCTAGTTGTATTAGCCTGCCTCCTAAAGAACGAAGAATTGTGGAACGGGTGGGGGGAATGCAGTAGAAAAGCAGGCTAATAATTTCTTTTAACAGGTGCCTGAAGATCTGCTATCTTTGGCCAAATTAAGGTATGCTGATGTACCCATCTGGCCCTCAGCACATGTGCCTCCAGTGCCAAAACTTTTGGATACTTGTAAATTTAACAAAGGTGGAAGATGACCTGGAATCGTATATAAACATGATGACTCGGCTGGTAGAGCTGTTGCCTCTTAGTGAGAAGTTTGCCAGATTGAATCCTGGCTGGGGGTCTTTCTGGGTGGAGTTTGCATGTTCCCTCCATGCATGTGTGGGTTTTCTCCAGGTACTCCAGTTTCCTCCCACAGATCAAAAACATGCATGTTAGACTGATTGGTAACTCTAAATTGTCTCTAGGAGAGTGAGAGTGTTTGTTTGTCTCTGTGTGGTCCTGTGATGGACTGGAGACCTGTTCAGGGTGTCCCCTGCCTCTCGCACTAGTGACCCTCATGACCCGAAAAGGAAGAAGCAGAGAAAGAGGATGGATGGATGGATGGATGGATGGAAGATGACCTTCAGGGACTGCCCATCTGGTTCTGTCATACCTCTGTGGCACCTGTAAATGTGTTTGATCACTGATAAACTCTTTAACTAGTAGCAAGTCCTAAAAGCTTGTCTTCTGAAAGTGTTTATGCAAAAAGGATATTGTGTTTTGTTTTTTGTTGTTTTGTTTGTTTTTTTTGGGGGTGGGGGGGGGGGGGGATGTGTGCATATTGAAGGCTGGCTCTTCAAAACTGACTTCAAATAAAGAAAAACACATTTTCCTGAACAGTGTGTGCAGATAGCAGGGTTGTGCATTACTCTTGGGCTTGAGGCTGATGTTGAATTGTTTGGGATTTGCTCTGGAATCTTACTGTATTTGGAATTATTTTATGTATCTTATAATTACTGCTGTTTAGCTGTGTCTAAATCAGTGGCAAAGTAGCAAATGTCCTGGTGATGACCTAAACAAAACATTCATTCATGTGCTAAAATCTCATGTGTTAAAAGATAAACTGTATGAGCTCACTGCAAGCAGAACTTGGGCTACTGGCTAATGAAAGTGCAAGAATATGTGTATAAAACAATGACATGAGAGAAAAAACTAAATCTGGGCATAAAGTGGTGTTTGTTTTTTTACAAGAGATTGTTCAAATGCACATGCTGGCAGGCTTTGTGTTTGCTGTGTTCATTAATACATTTATGTTCCACGAAACAATGCCCTCCACAAATCCATTAACCCAGTTTGCTAAAGCTGACAGGAGGCGATGCATTTAGAGAGGTTTTAGTGTGTGGATGCAGCAATTAGTTTAATCATTGTTTAAAGCTGCCATTACATTCGGGATTGATTTGCTGGAACTGAGCAAAAATTAGCTTCCTCTGCTGCTTTTCGGGTGATTACATTTAAATTACGTGTTCTCACACCATTGTCTTGTATGTTCTCCATTGATTGCAATCATTATATAACTTACTCTTTGTTTGGCCTTTTTTTAATACAATGGATAGTTTGGGCTTTTCTGGAGACATCTGAGAGGTTCACACTGGATCAACCAGTATTAGACTGTGACAAATGGAGTCTAGTTGGCAATTCAACGTTGTTAGAAAATTGAGACAAATTTTCCATTGCAGTCTCATTAAATTCTGAGAGTTTAATACCAACAATCTGCTTTTTTTAATATTATGGCAGATTTTTGTGTGCACGGCTAATGAAACTGTATGCTCGGCCTGACTATATGTATGCTACTTAAATTCATTGAGGTTTGCCCTAAATAATATTTTCTCAATCAAAGGTCAAGAACATATGTTCATTTATCTTTTAGTGACAGCCATGCACGGTTTTTTTTTTCAGTCACTAGATTGTCTTTTAATAATAAGGCCTGTGAGCCAGCAGCTTCTCTCTGCAAAAAGAAGAGAGAAAAAATGGGGACAGACTTGGGAATTATTGCAAATGCTAGAAAAGCTGTACAGTAGTCCCTCGCTACTTCACAGTTCGTTTTTCGCAGACTTGCTCTATCGCGGTTTTCCAAAATAAGATTGGACATGACACACAATGGCAGATTGTTGGATGAGCCACATGATTGGCATGGAATTTTTATTTAAAATAAATTATTTCAAAATGATTTAGCACTTGTGTGCAGCCCACGTCTGTGCTATAACTTCCTCCTGCAGCTGATCAGCTGATCTTCTTGCAGAGTGGAGAAGTGGGCATGGCCGAGAGAGCAGCCAAGGCAGAGAGCTCATTTCATGACATTCATGACTCTTTTAGAGCATTTATAGTTTATCAACATTGTTTAGAATATTGCAAGAGTGTGGGAAGGGTATAAAATGCCATATATATATTATATACATAGGCGTCAACACCAATAAATGTGAAAGGGACAAGGCCCCCCCCCCATAAAAAAAAACATTATTTTGACCCCCCCCCCCCCCCCCACATACACACACACACTTTTCCTATAAAACATTAGGTCAGGCGGTGCAGTTTCTCTTTCTTCGTGAATGAATCCATTCCACTTGATCAATAGGAGAATACTCAGGCCACTAAAACTCCACTCCAGGTTTTCGTGGTTACCTCCAACTCTAAAAAAAGCAGCCTGTTGCCACGGTCACAATATACGGTGGTCACAGAATATGGTGTAACACCTGCAGTCTTTCTGTGCGTCTCCTGTCTCGGCATAAAACGTGCACAGGTGGAGGAGATGGAGACACCTCTGTGTTACTCGCTCCCCAGTTTAGCGAGCTTAGTGCGGGCAGTTGTTGACCAGGGGGTTGATCATAAGATGTTTGAGAGGAGCGCTACATCTGTAGCATCTTATCTTGGCAGTAACTGTGATGCTGTCAGACGCTGCAGGTGTAAGAGACGCTGTGTGTTCAGGTGCATTAAAGTTAAAATGTCTTTAAAACCCCACACCTTATTGTCCTCAAGCTTCATGAGAAACATCATTTAGATGAGTAGTGTTGAACACAAGTAAAAAAGTCCAGTGGTGATGTTTTTTATTTCTCTATAAACACAAATAGTGCCGACCTGAGGCTCTGTATTAAAGTGTATTAAAGTTAAAATTTCTTTAAACCCACAGCTGAATTTACACAAACTTGGTGAGAAACATGTTTTAAATGTGTGGAATTAAAGGAAATCTAGGTGAAATGTTGCTTTTTGTACAGTAGTGAACACTTTTTTTTAACGGCACACACATGCACACGCACACATACACACATCTACATACATCATTGTGTCCCCCCCACATTACGGATGCTTCTGACGCCCTTGTATATATACTAAAATAAGCTACTACTTACTACTTGTACTATTTCTACTTAGCAGTTTTTCACTTATCGTGGGTATTCAGGGTACGGCTCCCACACAATAAACAAGGGACTACTGTACCTCCTGAAATGAGTAAAACTGTACAAGTAAACATGTCTTATGTATTTGTTTGTGTATGTGTGAGTGTTTACTCACATACACACTGAAGATATGCAGATTAGGCGAATTCCAAATGAATCAATACTTCTCCCCAGAGTGGTTTAATACCTGGATGTTTTGCAGATGTTTTCTGCCCCAAGAGCCTGCAGGAATCATTATGTAGCTTTAGCAAGCTAGAGTTATGGAAACCTAAGTGAGAAGAGTTTGAGACACCTGCAATAACTCTTCTGCTGTTTCGAGCGAAGATTTGTTGCGCTTTTTGCTGCACAGCTCACACTGTTCTGACTCAACAGGAGGAAATAGAACCCCTGTGAACAGGTGGAGACATTGTGGAATTCCCTTGATGAATTTCATCTGAAAGCTAAAATCTGCCTTCTTCATCCTCTTTAAGCTAGTACCTCATCAAGCTAGCTGTCAACTAAAAATTGTGGTAAAATAGGCACAATTTCTGCAGCAGTCTCAAGTCAGTTTGTCATGAAGTGACCAGCGAGTTGTGCACTTGTGTGCTGTGTTGTCAGTTTGTGAAAATCATGGCTTATTTTCATGTGCACAACTTGCAAAAATGCATTCTAGTTTGTGCACGGCTGCCCACCTCTATCCATACTGTGGCCACCTCAGCCTGCATTGTCCCCACTTTTTATAAATTTAGAAATGATTATAGTTAAAACGTTATTTTCATCATTATTTGTTACTGGCAGTGCTTTGACCTCATCATGTTTGTAATCAGAGAAAAGCTTTTTTCAGGTTTTAGAATTCTACTCCGTTTGGTCTGAGATGCCCACGAAGATCTTGTCTATTTTCAAAAAATAAAAAAATGTGCTCGCTTTTTTTTGAACAAGTTCAGATTTAAAGCAACAAAACTGTGAGACTTTGTAACTCAAAAGAGAAAGTTCAGGATCACTCCATTTCTCTTTTAATGTCATTCACCAACTAGTCTCCAATAGTTGAACCTAGTAAGATACTACTTTTACCATGGGCACTGAAACACTTGTGTACAGCCAGATAAAGTAAAACATGGAAATGCTGACTTGAGTTGGACTCTATCAGTACATGAAGCCTCTGTTTGTATTGTATCTTTGTACAGTAGACTAGAGGTGGCATTGATATGAACACATCTAAGGTACTTTGATGAAAAAAACAATATTATTGTAAATCAGTAGCAGATTTTTGGGGTGCTGACATGAGATCGTTGCACATTTTGACAGTGTAGACACAGTATGCCTTTTGGGGCAGAGCTCTAAAGCTTAAAGACCAAGTAGACTGCATGTTTGAAAAAGTTATGCCACCACTTTCCATCTGAACGTCAGTGAATGTACACAACAACAACATGTGAGAATTTGTCTTAAGATGGTAGATAAATGTAAGATTGTACTCCCATATTCCAAATTACGTGTACCCTATGGTTACCGCCCTACCATCCACCTCACCTCCATTATCCTACTTTCCAATTTCCCTAAAGCTTTTGTAAAGCTATTGATTCTATTTTAAGAAAATGTATTTATTTTCAAATAAAATATTTATTTAAACGGTTGTTTTTACTGAGTTGAAGTGATTTAAGTATATGCAAGTAATTTAAGTATTGAAGTGACTTGACTTCCAGCATAACTTCAGTTCAAGTTGACCTATAAACATGAAATCAAGTCCTTGAACTCCCTGTCATGAACAGTTAAATGAATGAAGTTGCTTCAGTCGGATGTTAGCTGTGTTAGTTCGCGTAAACTCAGGCTCCGTTAACACGAGAACAACCTCTGGACATGTTTTTTCAATGTTTATTGGGATAAATAAATAGGAGCCAGTTTACATGAA